CACACACACACACACACACACACACACACAACACACACACACACACACACACACACACACACACACACACATACAGATGCACGGACGATGACGCCAAGAAGATGGCCATGGTGATGGTTAGGAGGTTGACAAGAGAGGAGGAGGAGAGGGAGGGGTGACGAGGAGAAAGTTGGAGGAGGGAGAACGAGGGAAGAGGAGTAGGGAGGACAATGACTACAATGATGGACGAGGATAGAGCATGGAGGCTGGAGGAGAAGAGAGGAGAGTGACGAGCATAGATGGAGGAGGAGGGAGGAGGGCGATGAGCATGGGTGAAGGAGGAGGGAGCAGCGACCCATGGTGCGTCGAACTTGAAGACTGGCTGCTGCACCATTTTTCTGTCGCGGCGCGTGAAATACCTACCATTTTCGAGTTCGAATTCCTGCCGCCACTGCTGCAATGACATTACAGAAAGATGTGTGCCACTCGTGAGGGAATTTCAAGGACGGACTGACAAAACGCCACCAGCGGTCCAGTAAGGGCATATCGGAAAGTTACGCTCCATGCTGACAGGGGCCTGCGGAAAATTTCAGACCCCCGAGGGGCATAACAGGATAAGTCGGCCTTCACAGGGGCACGCCGCAAGCAAACGCAAACTTAAGGGGCATTTCGGAAATTTTCACTTTCTTTTTCCCTCCTGTTTGCCCTATCTACAAAGTTCCAAGTACAATCATGAACTCTTGAAATAGACCCAAGTTCAAATCCAGATGATGGAACTTGACTAGTAAAACCAAATGATTCTGAATTGACTGGGGCCGGTGAGCTCAATGATGATATCTAAAGGTTGTCACCCTTTTAGAAAAAAAAAAAAAAAAAGCTTTATTCTTCTCTCAATTTCACCGTTCACTTTCTATCAACTACTACTCCTAAGCCTGTACAGGGGAAATTACCTTGATTCCAAGTCGGAAGACAAGGGTCTATGATAATGTGCAAAGAAATGCCTGCTTCCGCATTTCTTTTTGGAACTTTCTGAGAGCGTAAACTGAAAATTCGCAGAACTTCAAAGAGCATGCATCCACACCGTGAGAATTTGGAGGGCGGAAGAAAAATGCTGTGAAGTGAACAAAGGGAAGAAGACGCTTTACACTAAGTCTTTGAAGGTGATCTCTGCCGCGCAAAGTTTCACCGCTGCGTGATGCAGTGCAAAAAAATGCCCGCTTTCTTTGTTTCTCGGAACAGCATCACACACAGTGTCACGACTCATGGGTGAAACTTGACTGGGATGGAAATCACCTACCCACTGTTCCCAGTGCGAAGGGTCTGTCCTTTTTTGTTGGGATAATTGGTGGAACCTTTTTCCCTTTGGGCGCCCAACATTAGGCCGTTTGGTACTGCACTCCCCAAATTTTCCATGTACTAGGTACTGTCGGCCAATCCGTGGCTCCAATGGGCCCTACCGGATCATGAATCTGGTGCACAAACAGTGCCAGATTCGTAGTGATGTAGGAGAGGCCTAGGGCGGTACAATGAAAAGAGATTTAAGGCCTAAGTGAGGTACCTGTTCATGAATTTGGCGCGAAATCAGCCCCAATTTCATAGTCCCGTAAAAGCATGCAAAGCAAGCAGGGGCCACAGCGTGAAGGCACCTGTGACGTACCAGCCCCCGTGCTTGAACGAACTTCTGAGCCCCTGTGTTTTTGCTGCTTTTCCTTTCGGCTATCAACTGGCTTGGGGTATCTGTTTTCGGCTGATGCGTGCTAATGACCGCTGAGGCCTCCCAACTTCAAGGTGTCTTTTGTTTAAACCACCAGTGCCTGGCCCAGCTATCCAGTCCGAGCCTCGGCCGGTACGCCTATCCGTACCGGGCGCAGGCATCCCGAACGTCGGAGTGAAAAGAACGAAAAAAACGGGAAAAAAAAAATGAAAAAAAAAACGAAGAAAAAAAATGAAAAAAAGTATGGCAGTTTATATTCCCACGCTATAGCGCCAGATTGATTCGATTTTGCTCATCCTATGGAGGGCGCACCATGAGGCCAGCCGCGACAAGCGAGCGAGAGAGAGAGAGAGAGAGAGAGAGAGAGAGAGAGACAGAGAGAAAGAGAGAGGCGGCGACCTGCACGGAGGGTCGCGGTGAACTCGCCGCCCCTCTCTCTCTCTCTCTTCTCTCTCTCTCTCTTCTCTCTCTCTCTCTCTCTCTCACACACACACACACACTCACACTCACACAAAAACAAGTATGGCAGTGTATATTCCCACACTATAGCGCCAGATTCATTCTATTTGGTCATCCTAGCAAGGGCGCAGTACCATGAGGCCAGCCGCGACGAGAGAGAGAGAGAGAGAGAGAGAGAGAGAGGCTGCGACCTCGCCGCCCCTCTCTCTCTCTCTCTCTCTCTCTCACACACACACTCACACAAAAACAAGGCAGTGTATATTCCCACGCTATAGCGCCAGATTCATTCGATTTTGCTCATCCTAGCAAGGGCGCAGTACCATGAGGCCAGCCGC